CCCATATTATTTTGGTTCATTTCCATAAAAAAAAATAATTTAAATTAATTAAAATTTAATATAATTATTAATATTAAAAAGTTAATATCCAAAAAAAAATTAAGATATTTGTTTCCTTTTAAACAAATTTAAAATATTTGATAGGATTGAAGTGGAGGATTGAAACCCTACCCTTGAACGAAGAAATGTACCTTTACAAATGTATTTATAACCATTGATCGACGGGATTCAAGTACTATAAATTAAAGTATTTGATAGGGGTAGAAATGGAAATTAAGATTTGTCTCTTACGGAAAATAAATAGGCAAAACCATAAGTTAAGCCCCTGAACTAACCCCAGAATCGCTGTTAAGCCCTTAGACTTTAATTGATGCAGTTAAGCCCTTGAACTCTGGGATCAAAGCAATTAAGCCCTTGAACTCTGGGATCAAAGCAATTAAGCCCTTCTTCTTAAACAATTTATTTTAAAAATTAAAGTCTAGGGGCTTAATAGCGTAAGAAGAAGGGCTTAATTGCTTTGATCCCAGAGTTCAAGGGCTTAACTGCATCAATTAAAGTCTAGGGGCTTAATAGCGATTCTGGTGTTAGTTCAGGGGATTAACTTATGGTTTTACCAAATAAATATGAAGGAGTACGACTCAACTACAGTTTTTGAAAAATAATTTTGTATTTTGTCGCGACGTGAAACGTTGAAACGTTGAAAGGGGAGTTCATCTAAGCTGGTTTCTAGAAAAGAGGACAAAAGTGGTTCTGTTTCGACGATCGAGGATTTCGACAAGTGTCAGATGAGACCTTGCGATGACACGCGGCATCTGGAAGTTTCACTTTGGGTAATCGGGCGTGATCGCACGTGAAGTGGGTGCCCACTCAGATCTACGACCAGCTGGCCGTGTCCTCTCAATCGCTGACACCCGAAAATAAAAGCTATCTGTTCTTTGAAAAAAACAAAAAAGAGCCATCTCGAATGGATTAACTCGCGAGATTGTAAAGAAATTCAAGTTTGAACGTTTGAAGGCAACTTTTCGTGCTTTTACTTTTTGAAAATGATATTATTCTTTTTCTCTCTCTTTCTTTTTATTTATTTATTTATTTATAAACTATAGTTATAATATTAAATATATAAATATATATTAAAAATAATATTATTTTTTAAAAAATAAAAGAGTAAATTTATAATTAAAATATAATATTAAATAAATATATAATATTATAAATAAATTTAAAAAAAATAATTATAAAATAATATATTATATTATAAATTTATAATATTACATATTATTATAATTATAATATTTTTCCCTTTTTTTAGAGTATTTTTTAATTAATTTTTTAATATTCAAAAATCATATTAAATCTCGACTAATTTGTAATCAAACGGTGTCAGATTCCATTATAGGAAAGCTATCCCAACGCTTATTTCTTCATTTATTTATTAAACTTGAACTTGATACGTTATTTAAGATAATCAAGTTCTTTCTAGTCGAATCAATAGTTCGTTGATTTTTTTAAAGTGTATTATAATATTTAGATTAGCATTAGTAATGGTTTTTTTATTTTATTTTGATAATAGCCGTCATAAAGAATAAATTCAGTGGAAATTAAAATTCTAATAATAGTGACATTTCAACGCGTTAATTGTGATGATATATATCGTAATATTCTTAATTCTCAAAATCAAAAGTAAAATTCTTTTTAATATTATTGAAAATGCACATGTTGAAATATTCTTCTATAAAAAAATTGTCAAATTATTCTTTGTTTTGATGTTTTCAGTTCATTTAATAACTTAGACGTAAAACAAATTTCACCTTTTTAAAAGTTGAGTTCTCACAATAATCGTTATCAAATTCTTTTATTTTGGACACAAACTATTATTAGATTAGATAATTCTTTTGCATAATTAATTATTAATTTATTAATAAAAATGTATATAATTTTAACTTTTAAAATAAATTAAGTTTTTAATATTAAATTATGTTATTTTATTTAATTTAAATTTGATTAACGACTTAAGTAGTTGAATGATGATTTTATTTTACTGGAAGTAAGAGGTTCTGTGATATATGATAAAAGATGAGAGAGAATTGTTTCATGTTGTACAACCAACATAAAAAAAATTAATTTAAAATTAAAATTTTATCATTTAAATATTAATATTTAAATTTAAAAAATTGATTATATTAAAATATATAAATTTAATTATTAATATTTAATATGATAAATTTTTAAAATTTTAAATTGAGATTTTAACTTTTAAATATATGTTAAAATTCTATTTTTTTTAGTTAAAATTGGTATGTATTAATTTTTTTATTAATATTTTATAACTTAAATTGTAAAATAGGAGTCAATAAATAAAACAAAATTAATTAATTAATCATATTATGTAATTTGATATAATTTAAATTATAAAAATATTTATCCATTAGTTATATAAGGGTACTTGTTTTAGAAATTAGGTGAAATAAATACAATTTAAAAATAAAAATGTTAACCCCTATCATGTCCTAGTATGGATGGAATGAAAAAATAGACCTATATATGATGGTTTGTGCATATATATTAATGACAGGTGTTTAATCCTGAAAAAGCTAGCATTAGCATATCTTGCTAAGCTGATAATGTGCATTTACTATCTTAATGCATGTCATGTGGATAGTAATGCATGTTAAGATTTAAGTTTTTATTAAAATAGTGATAATATTTTTCTCCTTTCAAAAAATCTTTTTTTTGTTTAAAAACATAATATATTAATAAATTCATAAAATCTTTTAGATGTTAACATATGATATATCATATATATATAATGTAATATAATATTATTATTAATCTTAATAAGATAGTTCAATGGTTAAGAGTTTGAAATATTAAATTCAAATTTTGAGTCAAGTGGAGAGAAATTTTAGAATAGAAAAAGATTACCCTCTTTTATATAATTTATAATCAGATGTATTAAAAAAATATAAAATTATTATTGGTAAATAGCCATATAGGGCTATATTTTTAGCCTCCAAATGGAGGAAAGTATTAAATGCTAGTTTTTGGATTCCATATGTCTAACTAGTGAGCAAAGTAATTTTTATTCCCAACTCAATCATCACCTTAGTATAAAATTTTTAAATCTCCATACAGTCTTCTAATTGGTTTACAATCTTAGACCATAGCATCTTATTAAGCTATTATTATTCTCACTCATGTGATTGGATTCCCTCCGTGAGTTGTTAATGATTCTGACATTATTCTTTATATATGTTCTAAAATAATTATAATTATTTTTTGATTTTTTAAATTAAAAATTTAAAGACAATATTTATATTTATTTATAGTATTCTTAAAAAATAAAAAAAATTGTGATTAAATGATTAATTAAAATAAATAGATAATGATATAATTAAATAAGAAAAAATATTTATTTACATTGCAAATAAAAAAACAATTAATTTAAAATAAATTTAAAATAAAAATAGTTATTATTTTAAAATAAATAGAATAATATATTAAAAAATAATTTATAATTCAAATGATACTAAATTTTTAAAAAATTAATTATTGAATGATGAAAGGTCTTTAATCTTTATAATAGATACAAATCTCCTAATTTAATAATTAATGATTTACCTATCAAATCGTAAAATAACGCATTCTTAATATATTAATTATTACTCAATTAAAATTTTGCATTTCATTTCACCTATGCAGGCCAGGTGGTTTACCGGGCGAGTGTATCCACCAAAAGACTTGGGTTGCCCGGTCTATTATTGTAAATTTGTAATCCCCTTCCTCTACCCTCCAAAAGGTAGTGCAATCGAGAAAATTTTTTACTTTATTTTTTTATATAATTTTTACGTATTATTAAATCAGTATTATGAGTTTTATATAAATTTAAAAAATTAATCATTTTAATAACACATTAAATTATAAAAAAAATATATTATACAAATATAATTTTTCATCTCTCAAAAATAACCTGCGTTCCCCAAAAAAAAAAAAAAAAAGGGAAGAAATTTAGAATTTTCGTGCCCAGAACGGACATCATGTGCTAAAGCACAGGCACACGCAAACCTTTGTTTAAGTTTAAGTCACAGGAGTCGTTGCTTCCTTTCGGGGTCATTGCCTTGTGGGGCTGCAACAAAGCTAATTGAATAGAAAAGAGATTGAAACCCCCAAAGTAAGAACCGGGAAGCATTAGAAACAATCATGAAAGTTAATTTTAATTAGTCAATTTGGGACCCAGAGAGCATATGTAGACTTGGCTTTTATGATTATTGTTATAATAATAATATTGATGCTTGCTAGCTTTCTTCCTCTTATTTCTCCAACGCGTCGCCGACTCGACAGTGGATTAAGTTCTCAATTGTTACGTGACGCGTTTGGTCATTTTCAAACTTTATGAACCACATAAATAGGAAATTAAAGTCCTTGCATTTTCTAACGCGGCATGTATTTCAACAAGATTTTAAGGTAAAATCTTATGTTAAACCCTTAGACTCACTTAAAAATTTTTATTACATCCTTGTGTTTTTATTTAAATAAATACGTTTTGAACTTGTCAATTTAGTGAATTTATTATTATTTTTTTAATGGAAAAGTTAATGTCAATTTATGCTTTTCTTACATGGATAAAATTAATTCTATGTAGATAATGACATGTCAATACATTATTATTCACATAAGTGATATATAAATGAGTGTTAAATCATGCTATAAAGAAGATGAGTTAAATTGTTTAAATCACTAAGTTCAGAGTTTATTTGTTTTAATAAAAATTTATGAGTTTTAATTGAGAATTTGAATAATTTTAGGGGTTTAACATTTTGTTTTGTTAAATTTTAAATGTTAACATAAATTTTAGTGGTAATGATATAATATCACATAATATTGTAAATTAATACTTATAATATATTATCAAATGATTAAATATATATAATATTATGAATGTGTCATAAATAAAAATAATTAATCATACACTTAGTTGTTAACATAACGTTATAAATGTACTATTTTCTTATTCAAAACATCCAACAAGACTTTAATTAGTTTCATTAGTAAACTTGTATAGGCCTTAGCTAATTGGCTAGTAAATGAAGGACTTAAAAGAATTGGGCGACCTTATCAATGGAAGATAATAATTAATAAATTACTTTGGACAAGGTGCCTATCAATGAAAACCAACTAAGGCTTGTGGTGGCGCAATTTTGGTGAAGCCAAAGATGCCCCACAAATAGAATGGAGAAATAGATTGGTCCATTTGTATAGGCAAGTGCCTCAAATGAAGCTTCATTTTCATGGAAAAAAAAAGAAAATAAGAAAAGGAGTAGTGTTTGTGGGCAAAAGATGGATGTAGGCCATCACTCTGCCCATTTGGTTGACAATTATAGAAAACGACCAAGGAGAAATGGTCCCTTTCTTCCACTAAAGAGTAAAGAGTAAGCTCCCCTCTCCCCCATTATTTGCTTTTGTGAAAGTTAAGTTATTGGTGCTTGAACTGACCGTCTTGTACGTTTACCGTTTTTCTGTAACCCATTGAATTATACCATTGAGTCACAGAGTCACAGGTTATAATGATTTTATTTTTGTTTGTAATTCATCACATTTATTGGTAAAGAGCACGATTCAAACACGAGACCTACGGTTCAATACTTGGTGGTCTAGTGATCATCTTTTTGAATGAGTGTAGTAGATATAATGACTCGAATTCAAATTTCATGCCCTACTCTCCTTTCTCTACAAATTCCCCCTGTTAAAAAAAAAAAAAAAACACACACAAACAGGAGACCTACGTGTGTTAACACACAATTATATATAATCAATTTATACCATAATAGTTAATAGAAATTCATTCAAGTTACGAAAACTGCCATGGTGGTTGAGGCATAGGATTGATATAAAGAGTCATAAGTAATATATCCATCCCAAGTTTCAAATTAATTCTATTTTATGCATGTTCATGTTATATTGTTTAATTTTTATACTAATTTCATGTAATATGCATTTTTCATTTAATTTGGTTGCATTAAAGTCGTTTCTGATTGAAATCTGTTTCTGTACTGTATCCCTAAGAAAATTAATGTCTCAATAGAATATTTGTTACTGGTATTTAAGAAATAGAAAAGTGATTTTCAAAACTACTAGGTATTCCTTTTAAAAAATATGTATATAAAGGAAGAAAGGAGAAAAAAAAAATGTAAATCCAAATTCAGATGATAACAAATAGACAAAAACCACTGGATGAACTATTGGTCGAAATAGAAGGGTTTCAATTCTTTGTAAGTAAGATATTGATTATTTTTGAGTAAAATTTTGAGTTTAAATTTTATATATAAAGAAATAGATGTTAAAAGAACTTCTCTTTTATGGGATTTGACGCAACTTGATTCTGAATTAATTAAGATATAATGTGGTTATTGGATAACAAAGGTTAATAAAAAAAAAAAAACCCCCTCAATTCTAAAAGGGCTTTGGAAGGGGTATTAGGAAGCCCAAATTCAAAGAAGAAGGCCTCAATACTCAGAAGCTATCAACCCATATTTCGATTTTAAGTAGTAACTCTAGTAAATGGACCTAATCTAAACTGGGCTTGATGGAGCTCTAAAATTCTGAAACCCATTCCGTTTGTCACCGTAATGTAGTTTACATCAATGCCTACACCTCTTTCCGCATGTTTCTCGTCTACACTAGGGTCAAAATGGACAATTGACCAGAAAAGCCCTAGCTATATCCATAGAGTCGGCCCCCCTAGCCTCTTCTTTTGGAGTCCGAAAACCCTAACCCCTCTCTGAATCAACAATGCCGCCCAAGTTCGACCCAACCCAAGTAGTGGACGTATATGTCCGTGTGACTGGAGGCGAAGTCGGTGCGGCTAGTTCGCTCGCCCCGAAGATCGGACCTCTCGGTCTCTCCCCGAAGAAGATTGGTGAAGACATCGCCAAGGAGACCGCCAAGGACTGGAAGGGGCTCCGTGTGACGGTCAAGCTCACCGTCCAGAACCGTCAAGCCAAGGTCACGGTCGTCCCCTCGGCCGCGGCGCTGGTCATCAAGGCGCTCAAGGAGCCGGAGAGGGACCGGAAGAAGACCAAAAACATCAAGCATAATGGCAACATCAGCCTCGATGATGTGATCGAGATTGCCAAGGTTATGAGGGGTAGGTCAATGGCTAAGGATTTGCAAGGGACCGTGAAGGAGATTTTGGGCACATGCGTTTCAGTTGGATGTACGGTTGACGGGAAGAATCCCAAAGACTTGCAACAGGAGATTGCTGAGGGCGAGGTTGAGGTGCCGCTTGAGTGAGAACCAACTTCTTAGATTACTCAGTTGATTTCAGTTGGTTTGTATTTTTTTTTTTTTTATAAAAAACATGAAACAGCTGTGGATTTTTTCAAGAGTTTTATTAGATATTTGATAGTCATGAATCAATGAACGCTTTAATTTATAGACGTGATGGCATTTTTATTCGTTATTCCAATTTTTTTAGCTTGTTTGATTCGAAGAATGGTTCTAGCTCATAGCTTTGATGGGTAAGAAATGGATAGTAAATATGTGCATAGGAATCATAGTGATTTAAGGCAATATTAGAAGTCAGTTGCTTAGTGTTATTACTCATTAGAGTATCAATTTCTCCAAGGTTTATGATTATACCTAAGTTCTGATTCTCTATTTTGGGATTATTCATGTTTTGACTGCTTCTTTGGAATCACTAATCCAAAGAATGTTGTTGAATGGTTTGTTTCTCGCTGAGCTCATGTGATTTGTAATTGGGCTGGCAATGGCATACCCTTATGCATATAATCAAATAATGAGTGCCTGATTACCTTTAAGAACCTACCCTTATTTTAGGCAGAACTTGCATCATTAGAATTTAGAATTGTTCATTTATTCTTTCTTTTTAGTTTAGAATTCACTGTGATGCAATTGCTTGCCTCAAAAAATTGATATCCCTCTTATTTTATCTTCTCTGTAGAATTCCACTTTCATTTCACTGCCTAGTGCCTAGTGCTCATAATTACTCAATTTGCATATTTAGAAAACTGCAGTTATATGAAGTTTTAGAATTTCAAGTTTAATTGTGTCTTGCGAGTATAATGTATCCTAGTTTCTAACTTGTATTTCTTTGACATTGTTGTTTATTATGTGTTTCTGGCATAGTTTTTGCTTTAATGCTAGTGATCTCATTCATGGCCACATCTGCTCATAGATAATCTTTCTTGATTTGCATACTCATAAGCATGCATTTTTTTACTTCAAAGTGTACTGCAAGTTTACTAGTCTGACTCTGCCGAATGCATATTTTAAGCCCCGTAATTTCTTCTGTAATGAATGTTTAGCATGAGAAATGTGAGTATTGTATGTCCCCTATGCCTTTCTCTTCCCATTACTACTGATAGGAGGCGGTTATGATAGTTCACTTTTAACTGTTTCTGAATCTTTGCCAATCTTGAACTGTTTGTTTTTGCATTGTAGTCTTGAATAAATTTGGATCTAATACTAATAATTTTGTTTTGCAATTTAGATTGCAAAACAGGAACGGTTCGATGGGGACAGCCTAATTTCAGGGTGCTGCCCCTGTTTAACTGGTTAAGTTGTGGAGTCTGAACTGTAGTACAATTTTTTTGTATTAATATAGATGGAATATCTTGGGCACAAAACTGACATTTCTCGTAATATCTTTGGCTTACCCTAAAATCAGTCTCCTTCATCCATTTTGGTTTTCTGTTAATTTCAGGTGACGACTCCTCATCGTACACCTGGGTTATCTTTTCGCCGGCAACCAAAACGTCATCTGTGTTGTTCCCTCTCGTCCGCTGTCTTTTCTTAGCCATCGTCAAGTCCTATATATATAGACCTCTGAATTCTTCCTCCTTCCACCCAGCACGCTCACCCTCCATAGATCTCTGGCGAAACTCCCAAACAGGGTTTTTTGGCCTTTGGCCTGTCTCATTTCCCACCGCTTATGCTCTCTCTTTCTCACCTCAATCTCAACGAGAAAGAGAGACTGAGACATTCCATTCCAACAACCACCGCTGCTGCAATCCCTCCGTCCTTGAATCGATTACGCCATGGCAAAAGAGCTGAGGCACACGATGAAGCCTTGGATTGAGGTCGCGCCGTCGCTCATCGATTCCCCTTATAAGTCTCCCAATAGTCCAAAACTGGAAACGATCAGAGAGGAGCGGGCGGAAGATCCTCACCAGTACGAGGAGGAGAGGCGCGAGAAGAAGAACTTCACAAGGACGATGATCACGGTGAGGAACCATTAAGATTTCTCAGATTGGATAGTCGCTGGCGTCCTGGTTCAGGAGATGAACTCAAGAGACGGTGTAAAATTGGCAGTCAATTTTTCGTGGGAGATGAGAATCGTCAAGATAAACTCACTTCGATTGTACTTATTCTTGGAGTACAATACAGGGATAAATTTATGTATATTCTGTATATATATTTTGTTACTTTCTAACCCTCAGAATAATAGACAAAATAATAGTCATTTTTCATTCAAAGAGATAAATATTTTTTAATTTTAATTGTCTATTT